CCCACCACCACCAACAACCCCAACAAAACCACGACGAAGCTTTAAATAAAATCATAAACCGACCCCCCCCCGCCCGAAACTAAAGTTGAAAGAAGTCCAACTATTGATTGTGAGAGATCCATTAAAGGGAGAATTTGGACAGTTTGCTAAATGATGCATTAGGTCATTTTTGTTAATAAGAATTCTCTTCTCTTCCTTTTATCCCCTTTTTTGTGTTGCTTTTGTAGGGAATTTGAATAATAAGGATAGAATTACTTCTTCCTCGTCAAATTCTTGTTTTTACTTATAACAGCAGCATATCTGGCGCCCCAAATTTTTCAAACTTCGATTAATGAACACAAGATCCAGTTATCTCAATTGAATCAATGGATGTCAACATTTATTTTCCCACTGTAAGTTAAAAAATTCACTTGAGTTTACAAGACTTCGTTTGATCTGGTTTTCGATGTTCCTAAAGAAAATTAAACAAACTGTACGCCTTAATTCTTTAAACTGTAAATCCCAAAGACTAATTATACAGTTTATGACTTAACAGAAATACATTCACGAAAAAAGCACTGTATTAAAACTCGTCAAATTGCAGTATCTAATTCAAACCAAAGAAAAACAAATCTTTGAGGCATGTAAAATATTGAGAGACTCAAAGCACATACCTTTAAAAGAACAGCATGATTAGTAAACACAAACAAACAACAAACACACGCAAAAGAATCATTTAAGAAACAGAATTTAGAGAGATTATATTATCAACCTGAAAATTATTGCAGCTACAGCGAAGCTCACGATACATTTAAGCTGATACATTATCAGTTATGACTAGATAACTGTTAGATGAATCTTCTGGTGACACAATATTGAACTCAAGAAATTAAATTGTTCCCTAATTTTCAAATACACACATTAAAAAAGAAACTTCTGTCTTCAGCGGGTCCACACTTCAAATAAGCAAAACATGCAAGCGCTGAGACTTGACAAATAAATAAACATAACAGTAAAAGGAACGAAATAAATAAATAAATGAAATATATGCAAAGAGAAATATACAGAGAATGAGGTAGAAAGACATATACAGAGAATGAGGTAGAAAGACATATACAGAGAATGAGGTAGAAAGACATATACAGAGAATGAGGTAGAAAGACATATACAGAGAATGAGGTAGAAAGACATATACAGAGAATGAGGTAGAAAGACATATACAGAGAATGAGGTAGAAAGACATATACAGAGAATGAGGTAGAAAGACATATACAGAGAATGAGGTAGAAAGACATATACAGAGAAAGAGACAGAGAAAAATACGTGTAGAGAGACAGTAAATTATATATAGAGTCAAAAAGATATATACAGTCAGAGAGAGGGAGGGGGGGAGAGGGAGTGAGTGAGAGAGAGAGAGAGAGAGAGAAAGAGAGAGAGAGAGAGAGAGAGAGAGAGAGAGAGAGAGAGAGAGAGAGAGAGAGAGAGAAAGAGTGTGTGTAATTAATAACAATAAAATTAATGATTTATAGATCTGTCTATTTATTGGTCTATGTATCCGCTTGACAGCCTTTTCATCATGGTGTTTGCCTGCTGTCTTTTTAATTGTTTTTCTGTTTTTCTATGCTTTTCCCCTTTCTAAAAAACGAAAAAGAAAAAAAAAAAGAAAGAAAAAGAAGAAAACCCCCCCACCCAAAATGAAACAGACCAATCGAAAGCAAAACACTCCCACCCCCCAATCTTTCTTTTTTACCCCTTCCCAACCTCTTAGAACCCCCCCCCCCCCGAAAAACCAACAAAAAACCCAAAACAAACAACCCCCCCAAAAAAACAACAACAACAACATACCAAAACAAAACCCCCCACAAAAACAAACAAAAACAAAAACAACAATAAACAAACAACAACAACGAACAAATGAAACAAACAAAAAAAACTTGAGCTAAGCGACTGAAAAGTAAAAGAATGGAGAAACGAAACTGAAGAATATATTCTAATATATTGATATAAACCAAATCCTTCTGATGCGTGAAACAGTGATCCTGGCGTTAGTAAGCTGCAAGTTCTATAGCGATTGTCATTGACAAAGACATAATGATATAACGTTTTATTGATGGGGTCAGAGAAATAAAGAGGCTAAGTCACCTTGCGGTCCTTTTGGATAAAATGAAAAAAAAAAGCAAAAAAAAATATTTTAAAAAATGCCAGAAAAAAATACTGAACTGGACTGGACTTAATGGAGCAGGATAATACATGTACAACAATTTTGGGGAATAGTAAAGTCCACAACTCTGTTTTACAATGTCACATACATTCATCCATCCATTTTATTCAATGATAATTATATGCTGTGTAGTCTCCCCTTGACGTGTGTCGTCATCATACACCAAACGTTACTTCTACCAAAATGTGACTTACAACCTTTATTTTTCCGACCCCTTCAGTATAATATGTTAATCTGCAAGTCTTTTTAGTGTCAGAAAAGCGTAACAAACATGTAGATTGTCGTATGTTGACAACAACTCACGTCCATGAAGGCAGAATTGACGACGGGCAGCAGCTTTCTTCCACCAGTCAGGTTCCTGATGGCGTTGATTCTGTACCAGCCCTTTCCGTGTGGCGTCTCCTCTGACATGTGCCTGCTCAAGATTCTCACTGCTTCCTCGGGGGGAAGGCCTTCCTCTCTTCCTAGTTCCTGATTGAGAATAAAGTAGAAGGCATTTATGATTGAGAAAAAAAAGTAGATGGCATTTATGATTGAGAAAAAAAGTAGAAGGCATGTATGATTGAGAAAAACAAGTAGAAGGCATTTATGATAGAGAAAAAAGTAGAAGGCTTGTATGATTGAGAAAAAAAGTAGAAGGCATTCTGGAGATTTGTTTCGTATAAACAGTAATGCACCTTCATGATTTGCTTTTTTTCATTCATTTTTTAGTAAGAGTTTTACGGCACTTGCAACACAATAAGGTCATATAAGTGCCGAAGATTAGAAAAAAATGGAATGTGTTTAACGCCCCTATCAACACTATTAGGTTATTTAAGGGATGGAGCCTCCTAGTTTAACGTCCGTCTCCGATAGGACCGAGCCAAGTGGGAAGTTCGTGTAAAGTGCCTCCTTTCCCAAGGACACAACGTCGGACCAGGCTGAGGCTTGAATCCCCGAACCCGCATTCTCACGATTACGAGTCCGGTAGCCTAACCACTAGGCTACCGATGCCACCCGGAAAAATTAGAGGTGTTACAAGAGAGCAACAAATACAAAAAAGAATGAGGAGAGATAAGGACGAGAGACGTTTGATAGGAAAGAAAGACAAAACCACACCAGAGCACCCACAAGTTAATTGTAATAGTATTCTCTTTTAAAATTCGTTTTTTTTATCATTAATCTCCAAAGTGACGGCTATTAATTGCAGAGAAAACACTGAAAACTCACCCTCCCTACTCCGACAAACAAAGGGAAAGACAACTGTAGAACCTTCCAGTATGAGAAAGAGAGAGAGAGAGAGAGAGAGAGAGAGAGAGAGAGAGAGAGAGAGAGAGAGAGAGAGAGAGAGAGAGAGAGAGAGAGGGGTGTGTGTGTGTGTGTGTGTGTGTGTGTGTGTGTGTGTGTGAGAGAGAGAGAGAGAGAGAGGTGGGGGGTGGGGGGGTGGGGGGTGTTCATTATAGTAAAAATCACAAAGAACACCTCCTATATACCTTCACAGCTGAGTGACATAACATAGATTCCCCTTCACTCCTCCATCTTTCCTTTACGATAATTCACCCCTGGTTTCCCCCTCACCTTGGCCAGCCTGGCCATCTCTGCCAGCCTCTTCTTGTCGTGTGGTGTGTAGGAAGCGTCAATCTCATCGGCCTTCTCCTCACCTAGTAGAAGACAAACTTTCCATTAGACCAAAAACAAACACACAAACAAAACAAAAATAACAAGGAAACAAGAAAAAACAACTGAACTTATCAAAAAATAATCTTACCAAGACTGACATGTAAAGGTATACCCCCCTCTAATAACCCCCCTCCCCACCCCGCCCAGGGAACATACGATACTTATAAAAATGGATTAATATGTGCATGTACAACACTCATAATAAGAGCGATAAGAATACTGAACAAATTATAATGATTATTATAAAACGTTTGTCAAATAACAACATGGGTGAATAGTCATAAGATGTTTTAGTTATAAAGAACGATATATTACAGCAATGATTATAATACATTGGTCATAGAATGACACATTCCAACAAAGACGGAGTCAAAATATAAGAAATGTAATGTTGAGAGGTAAAACTACGCCAAAACAACTTCTCACGATACTCCGACTCTTTCAAACATGACGGGTTTTGGAATGACTAACTGTAAGGAAATATTCTAACCTCTCAGAAATATATTATAGTCGGAATTCAGTTTTTATTTCTCAACGCTATACACCATATTTTGCCTATAGGAAGGTAATAGCTGGTAATCATAATAAATATTCTGTCCTCATTATGAAGGTACACGTACTTAGACTGCATTTTCTTACATACTTATAAATTATGTTAGTCAACATCAACACCCCTTAGGTAATTTTTCATCATATAGAGACACCGATGGTTATAATATTGCATAGAAAGAAATACCTATCTTACCAACCTGCATGCATTTTAGTGAAGACAGAAATTGATTGATACTTTTAATCGGTATGAAAGATGCAGGTTTTGAAAATAAAATGTTAGCACAATAAATACGTGTTATATTATACCATCATCGCATTGAGGGATAATAAAATCCCATTTACTGTCCTGGTAGTTATAAACGACACATACATATTTTACAGTATTCATATATTACAACAACACTGATGCGTGTGAAAGTCTGTTCATAAAATATGTTAACATGTTGTTAATACAAGCTTGGGGGAGAAAAAAAATGGCTGTTAGTATTTTGCGAAAGTCCACGATCCAGATGAGTTGGTAAATTGTGAAAAATGTTAGAATAGGGAGGTGAGAGAAAGAGAGAGGGAAGAAGAAGAAGAAGAAGAAGAAGAAGAAGAAGAAGAAGAAGAAGAAGAAGAAGAAGAAGAAGAAGAAGAAGAAGAAGAAGAAGAAGAAGAAGAAGAAGAAGAAGAAGAAGAAGAAGAAGAAGAAGAAGAAGAAGAGAGAGGGAGAGAGAGAGAGAGAGAGAGAGAGAGAGAGAGAGAGAGAGAGAGAGAGAGAGAGAGACATAGAGACACAGAGAGAGAGAGAGAGAGAGAGAGATGTGGATACGTAGAAACACAGACAGATTACATTCGGACTTCTAGATTATAGAGAGACATTTTTACCTACAAACGAAAAGTCAGATTTGGTGCGGCAGAGAGACAGACAGACAGAAGGACAGAAGCAGTCTAGGGGTGGGGTGGGGGAGGGGGGTTGTTGGTCGATCGAGCGATAGCTTATTCGACCGCAGAGTATCATTGATCTAGACAGCACAAGAAGAGACCAAAATTATTCTGTTGTCGTGCGCGGAAAGCTGTGAAAAAATGTGGTTCATTAGGTCACAGAGACAGAAGGCGTTATGCCGTTGCTTTTTCGAGTATTTGAGAACAAATAGACTGCCTACTTGCAGTCAAAAAGATAATACAATCTTATACTTCTTTATAATCTACAGAGGGTTCAAAAAAAGGTAAGCGTGGATTGTTAACTGAAAAAAGTAGACTTTATGGCTTTTACTAATTATACGCATTACTACTCAGCTGAGACAAAAGAAAGATTAGTAAAGGTAAAATCAAAGTTATAGTCAAGGACTAAACGGTCGCTTTTAAGCACAAGGGGGCTATCCCGAGAAACATTGTTTTGAGAAAAGTGAAGTTAAAGTTTTTGGATCCTTATTCAGTTTCTTTAAAATAAAAGGAGAGTTTTCTGTATAACCAAAAAATATACACACCAATGAAACCAAAGTTCTCCTATAGGAACTGTAATGCCCACTTTAGGTGTAAATCGAGATTTCTGGAAAACCCCGAAATCTGGGTTAGCCAGCTTGACCTTAAAAGCGACCAAACATTTTCAATAAATAAGTTTAAACAGTAAAATTCGTCTTGTTTAATTATTTAATTCACTAAATCTGGACTTCAGTTTTCAATATTACTATATAAATATATATCTTATCCATTCAGTGTGCACACAGAAAAGTGGAACAAATCACAACACAGCCGAGAAGGACAACCAACATCTGTGTCCATGAAACAAAAGGAGAAATTTTGACATGATGACACAATTTATGTTTTAACAGATTTTTTGGGGGTTGTTATTGATTGTTTTTGTTTTTTGTTTTTAGTTTAGTTTTAAAAAAAAGTCCTTTCGAAGTCCAACAGTGTTGTCTTTTATGCTGCACCTATCTTACGAGTCTTTTTAATAGAATCTTTTTAGTATACATATACACGTATACAACAGTGCAAAAGACACCATAGTTTGTCCAAAGAGTTGACCTCTAAACTCTGGCGTCTCTTACTCCCCATTGTCTATTTCGAAAGCACTATTTTTATCAGCGACTGTGGGAATTCCCAATTCTCTTTGAGTACTATTTATAACCTCTTTGGTCACTACAGGAATATCCGTAGCGACAAAGAGTTGAGAAGAAAATAATAATTATGAACTTGCCAGATATAGGGTTAGACCCCAGGCTTGTTAAGTCAATAGTATAATTGTTATCCAGTTAAAAGTATTAAGTGAAGCATTCATGAGATTATTGAATATATAGCCTTGCAGCACCCTTAAAAGTGTGGCAGAAATACAGGAAGACATGTCACAATTATTCACAGTTATAGAAGTAAACTCATGCAAAAGGGGGCAGGATTATAGAGACGAATTCAAATACCCTCTCTTTCTCTACTTCATGCTCTCTCTCTCTCTCTCTCTCTCTCTCTCTCTCTCTCTCTCTCTC